AACCTTGGCCAAGGCTGCAGTGGACCCCAGGCCATGTTCTTGAGTGTTGTCCGACGCAAGTCTCTCATCAGCCACCTACAGCGTGCTCGCAAAAACCCGCTGAATGGTGTTCAATTCCGGTGGTGGTGAGACATTGGGGGGCCGTTGCTCCGAGGGCGTCTGTCGATATCCTACCATTCACAAATTGGTGAAGCCCTTGGACAGAGGTAAAACGCCTTCCTGTTTTTTCTCAGCCACGATGAAAATTGTGATAACGACAAGAAAACAAAAGTTCAAGTATGCAAGGTTGGGCTGATATATTCACGAGGAAGTAGTAAAGCACCGATACGACGATATAGGGCTGTTGTAATGACATGTGGGAGTCCTAACTCCTCGCTAGCATCTCTGTGCTTCCACAAACACAACCCTATCTTGTCTCCCATTCTTTTTATACGATCCCTATATGCAATCTTTTTTTAATCCGCAGGATTTTTTTATTTACTTGTACTTATTGTATTTTTACATCTTTATTATTCACTCTTAAAAAACAAACAAAAAAGTGCGCATGCGTAGAAAAGACGTGAGCATTGAGATTCTGCGCCTTTCTGTGCAACAGCATGTTATACTCCACTTTTCTTTTTCCTTACCATCCCCACTTCGACAGTGTTTCCTCGTTTTTATCACTGTCCACGTTTTTCCGCGCATTCTCTCACGGTCCCACGTTTTTTGCAAACTGTTTTCTCGCTTCTCCAGCGCATCCCCACCGCTTGTGCACGTTTTCACCGCGCATCCCCCTCATTGCTCAACGTTGGCCTGAGATTGACAAATGTTTCTGCCGTGGGGCGCTAACGCGAAGAACTGGCAGACCAGAGGAACCGCTCAGACAGACGCGGCACCATTTGCGTTGAAAACACAGTGATTCACTTCTCTCCGTTACCTTTGCATGCGCTTGTTTTCCTTTTTTTTCTGAACATGCTCACGTTTTTCCTCACTGCTATTCTTCGAATCCGCACTATCACGTTCTTCACTGGTCCACGAGTTTTCTGAGCATGCGCACGTTTTTCTGGGATTCCTCTCTCTCTTAAATAATTTTACAGTAATGACATCATCCCCGTGGGTGGTGACCATCCATCCCTGGTGGTGCACTCTAGGCATGCTGTGAAGAATTATTGCCTGTGGGAGACCTGCAACCTCTTGTGGTAACTACTGGCATGAGCATAATAATTATTAAACCCGGGGAGAGCAGTGAAGCATTGTGGTTATTGAGGAGCATGCACAAGATGACGTATGTGGGTGTATTAACCATGTAACACCTCGCCTAATAATTCTTTCTGCTGCCAGACTACAGAATTTCACAAGACACTACTTAGAACTAGACTAGGACTGGACAATGATTCTCAACAACTTTTGACTCCCAGGTAGGTATATATACAGCTACACTCCAATTCTTTGGCTCAACTTAGTATAATACTTCTTGGTCACTGCAGAGTATAATTATACTTTTGGTCGCAAGTATATAGACCTTGCACACCTGGCCGACCACATCGTGGAAGCAGCTCCCCCAGAGCTTGCGTCCCTCCAAGATGGCCCATCCCCGTATTGGAAATAACGAATCTGGCCTTTCTCTTACACTGCAACTACTCAAGTTTATGCTAACGGAATAGTGGAACACTCAAACTCTGAAGGGCCCTGTGCTATTATATCATCAATTATAATTCTTGCTCGTTATCTTCAAACGTTCATTATAAAACAATATTAGACGACAGTAAAACTATCACTAAAAATGTACAAACTTGCAATGAAGAGAATAACTCTGTAGGGATTGGTGTTGTATGTTGCCCCCCACCCCACAGGTAAAATTCATAAGTTATGTTCGCGGCTCACTTTCATGCTATGCTAGAATGTGCAATTGTAAAGTACGGACTGTACAGAAAAGGTAAAAAATGCACCCTTCTTTTTAAGTGCTGTATATATGAAGGAGAATATAGAGTACATACAGTGTCATCTATTACACATCAGTTTCGGAACCTTGTGTAGGACTAAGTGCTGAAAATCGTGGATTAACAATTTGTAATCTTTTGCAGGAACTCACAGTAACTGCCGTATCTTGTAACTTCATATAATCAAACAATGACTTTTCAGAACGAATTGAACGGTATTGTGGATCAAGTGACTGTGGACGTTCACTGCTATTGAGACTTCCATTCTCCTCTTCCACATGAGTATTGTGAGAATCAAAAAACGAACATGAATTTGAGCGTTTTTGTGGGATGCAGAGTTTTGGCGTGTCATTTGATCGAGTACAAGAGTCTTGGATCGAGGATTTAGCAGGTTTCCTTGAACTCTGACCTGGTGCATCAAAATATTCTTTACCTGAAAAGCGTTTGGTACTTTGTGGCTCAGCCATGTTGATTTCATCTCTCTCTTGTACAGTAGACGGATTTATTTGTGTAGCTGGTGGTAATGAAATATGTTCAGCATTATCACATGACATTTCCTGCTCTTCATTTTCTTCGGGTAAGTTTGGTAAACTGCTGTCAAGTTGGCGTAATAGACCTGGAGCAAAACGAAATGGAAGAGCTGGATCGTGCTCTGCTGTATCCTCTCCATCATTCAAGTGGTAGCAACTGACATTTGATTCAAAAGTTGCTGGTAAAGATGCTCTTCTACCCATTCGTGCAATTGAACCAGGTGTTGGTGGAGTAGAGCACAATGGTTGTTTTGATACATTGGGGTTAAACTGAACACTGTAACTATTCGAGCGTCGGCTTTGTCTCAATACCCGTAGTTCTTCTCCAGTAATGGATCGGGGAGAGTGCCCACGTGGGATGTCAGATGAAATAAGACTAGAAGGTGTTGATGTAGCCTGCCTTTGAACGAGCCGAAAAGTTTGAGGGGACTTGTTTTTGTTTTTTGCATTAGGGCAACATGTAAGAATCCACAAAATATTCCTCCGAAAACTTCGTGTAATAAGGGCATATATAATGGGACTAAATAAAGCATTAATGGGGAAAACAAAGACAATAAAATATTTTGCTTGTCCAGCATCAATGATGGGTTCTTCAAGTATAGAAGTATAGCCCACAACTCCGATAGGAAACCAACACAAAAAGGTTGTTACCATTAAAAGTGAAAGTTTTGTTGTACTCTTTAGTATATCCCACTTTTGCTTTCGTGGAAGAGATGGTCTGAAAAGACAGAAGATTACAAGCAGAAAAGCAAGTATTACGATCAATATACCAAGCATGTTTAAAGTGAGTATGCTAAGGATATAGCCTCTATCTGCAGATGTGTGGGCAACAAAAGGGAGGCATATTGCAACTTCATCATACGCGTTAACATCCATTCCTTCTAATGGCAACACAGCTAGAATTGCAGCATAGACAATTCCAATAATTATAATTATCACAGCGTAATGAAGGTTTTTGCTTTGTTTTTGGCGTAATGAAACAGTACTTGTAACTATATGATGCAACCTTTCAATGGTAAGGACGACAAGAATGTATACCGAGAGTTGGGATGAGAAAATGGCAAGGAAACCAGCAGTTTGGCATCCAGATCCCTTTTGCCACTCTAGAGCTGATTGGTAAAAACTTCTGTCACCAAGTGTTCTAATATCGACCATTGCAATAAACGCTAAATATATACCAAGAAGTGTGTTGGAAAATGCTAGAACACAGATGAAAGATTGTGAAACATCCATTCTTTGGCGTGCAGCAATCATGATAAATAAGATTGTTATATTCCCAAGCAGGGTCAAGACCCACACAGCCCATATCGTAACGCGAATAGGCCATGGATCTAAGAGATTATCACAAGGTGTCAATGGATTTGGCCTTGGGTAGCAAGTTATCTTCTTAAACTGAGGCTGAGGATACTTGGGAGGAGGAACGTAATGGCTACGTAAATCATTAACACCTTGGAAGAATCCTTCTGTTTCAGTGCCAACAACAACAACATCATTATCAAGAAAATTTGTGGGTTGCCCATTTTGGAGATTTGCTATATCATCTGCAGTGAGACCAATGTTTATAGGGCCTTCTATAGTAAATCCACAGTCGGGGCCCCATATGATTGTTAGGTTATACAACTTTGCAATGTCCAATATAACAGATTGTCTGTCTGGTGATGCTCCTTCCGATGCACAATCTTTCTCAAATGGGTTTTCAGGAAGTACTGTTATCACTTCAGGAGGAAGAGTTACTGCACCTGTTGCATCCGGAGGAATGGTTGTGGGTAATATCGTATCGTTTTTGTATACATCTGAATTTAGAGTATCTTCCCAAAGACAACAGTGGTAGGCGTAAGTGTAAAACACCTCCTGAGCATTGGGCATTTTATGCGGATTAGGAACATTGTGAAGACACCACAACAGCTCTAAACTCAATATACGCAATGATGGAAAGCCAGCATCTGGGAATTCTAATGAACAAAAGAAGTTGGAAGACATATTCAATACCTCTAAGTATGGCATTAGTCCAAAGGCTGTCACGTGTACTTGGTGAATACTATTGTCATTCAGCCACAAGTTAGCAAGAAGAGTATTGTTGGAAAATATTCCATCTGGCAGAGAAAGAATACGATTAAAGCCAAGATTTAGCTTTCTCAGCGCTGTTAGTTTGGAAAAAATTCCAGGTGGAAGATGCTCAATTTCATTGTGGTGCAGAGTGAGTGATTTGAGTATTCTCAAATCATTGAACACACCAGATGCAATATATACAATCTCATTTTCCTGCAGTTTTAAAATATCTAGCCTTGTAAGTCCATTCAAAACTCCCTGTGGGATGTTTGGTAGGCTGTTATGGTCTAGAGCTAACGAAAATAGGTTTCGACAGTTCGAAAAGTTGGTGAAAGTTTGTAGGTTGTTAGCTGTAGCTTCAATAATAATTAGCCTAGGATTTGTAGTACAAATATCCTCAGGAAACTCCACGAGTTTGCTATGAACAATATGAAGGTCAGTCAGCTTTCCCATGCTGCTCATGTTTGGAAGATTCTTCACTCTGGTAAAGTCCAAATTCAGATCTGTTATTTTCCAGCATTCAATGAAGGCTTCATTATCAATTAGTTCAATAGGATTCTCTCTTAAAATAAGGACCGACAAGGAGGTCATGTTACGAAGTTGAGTATTGGTGATATGTCTTATCATATTTCCTCCAATATTTAACTTCTGTAAATATGGAAAATATTTTCCATTGAGATCTGGGATGGATTGAAGTTTGTTTCCTGTCAGGTCAAGGTCCCAGAGGTTCTCTGATGAATTCAAAGTACTTGCTGTGATGTCTTCGTCTTCCAAGTTATTATACTGCAAGTGTAATTGCTCAAGAGAATCAAGTTCAAGAAATGGAGAGCCTTTAATCTCAGCAATGTTGCTGTAGGATAAGTCAATATACCTCACTTTCTCTAGCTCCTTAAAGTCTTTACCATGCACAACAGTAATGTTGTTGTGGGAGAGGTACCTTGTAAAAGAAAACATTAAGCACATTATGATAGGGACAGGTATCACAATGAAGAGAGGACGTTCGTGAAAAATGTTCCCCCAGTTTATGAGATATGCAGTTGTTTGCTAGTTTAGAGTATCTTGAGCAAAAACACTACAGGGTAAGTACCTATCCTCAATTTAACAAGGTTCACTAGAAACATGCGCACGCAATTGTTGTTCACTTCTGATCCCTGAAAAGATGCCACAAACAGCCATAATGAAGGCAGTTATACATTTGCATATTGGCTTGTTCACTTGGTTTTCACACAATAACTCTGAAAGCAACGAATCTCTTAGCTGTTGCCTCATTTGGTATCGTTCTTTTGGCCAGCTGGTGGTGGCAGAAAACGTGGTAACAGACACACTGACAGACGGATGAAGTACACATTTACATACCAAGCACCGGATGGCACATGCATGCAATAAACAAACTTACAGTCCATTGGTAATCCTTGTTCTGAATGCACCCTTTCTGATGTTCTGGATTCCACAAAAGCTAAGATCTCTAAAATATAACAAGATATGGTGCATAAACAGGACCTGTCCACACTATTTAAACATTATTGGTTGAAATGTACGTTCGTCCATGCAGTGAGGTGTCCTGATTAGTGAGGTGTCCTATTTGTAGGTGGTAAAGTCTCATCCAATTAGTACTAATAAAAAACAGCAAAGGAACAAGAAAAAGATTAAGCTTTGTTTTAATACCTTACTAATTACTCATGAGTTGGAGTTCCATAAATTTCTATAAGAGCGGAAAAAGTGGAAGTCGCACAAGCATCAACGCATACATGTGTAATTGCATTGCATGTTCTACAGTGTTAGTTCAACAAATTGTTGGCTCACAAACCTCCCAATACTTGAGTGACATGAACATCCTAGCATTTCATTGTAGATAAGGCTTCCCCATTTAACAGCTACCAGGGGAAAACTCAGTTAATATAAGCAGGGAAAAAATTTGTGGATTGCTGGTCCTGCAATTAAAATATCGGAGCACACAAAATATGGTAGCGAAACCCTTTCGCAAAAGGCAAATCTCCCCCGAAAATTTCCAGCTAAATCTACTTGAAAGCAATGCTCACATGAGGAACCTGAACAGATCACTTGTGAGCTAAATTAACGAAGTCTAGGGCTTCAGAGTGAGTAGGCAAGCACACTGGAATAACGCCAGACGCTTAGAAGCTACTGGATATATTATCTTCCATGAAGCAAAAAAACCCCAGTTTGTGTACTGCACTGCATGGGGTTTGTGTTCTGCACTGCGTGCCTAGCTGTAACTTTTGAAGAGCACACACTTGGGATACAGGGCACAGAGTTCGAATGTGTGTATTCATGCAGTAGAACATCACTACCATGCGCATACACATGTATGCGTTGACTGGGTTGGACAATGTTCACTTTATTGAAGCAAATTACATTGGCAAAAATTAAGAATGGAGGGGTGCGCATAAAATAAATAAAATAGCGACTAGCCTGTGCATGATTATATATAATGTAAGCTACTGTACTTGGCATAAGTTCCTGAGTCTGCTAAGCCTCCTTGTTCACTTACAGGTCTTTCATAAGTAAATCCTGGAAGGCATTAGGGAACAGCTCCAAGATATTGTTGTGAGAAAGGTGTAGTCCATTTAAACTTTGCAGATCTTTGAAAGCTCTTTTCTCAATCTGTGCAATGCCACACTGCTGCAAATATCTGTGTAAAGAAAATAATGGTCTGCTACACATCAAAATACAGTATATTCGGCACCCTGCATAAGAACCTGGTCCACAATAAACAATAAAGCAAGAGAGTGTTTTAAAATCCTTAGTGTCCTGGCTATGGCCAATCCAGCCCGCATAACATACTAGAATGAACGCCCTCTCCCATGGTGAAAATTCCGCAGAAAAGAACTGCATGCCCAAGCTCAATAATAACACCAGTCTCTTTCCCAGACCCCCATTTGCCCCAGCACAAAAGAGGGTCTGGTATATAACATCAGAGTTCTTTGCTGCATTGAATCAGCATTTGTATGATGACTGAGAGTAAGATCAAAGGAATTCCAGCTAGTCCAAACAACGTACACGCGTAGTGAGCGCTTCCTGCTGAGTTTACGGGTAGTTATACCATAAAGAGGCCATACGATTTCCCCATACTTTAGCTGTATGTCAACTTATTTGCATAAACCACAGTGGGTATATGGTAGTTATACGATAGTAGGAAATTGGCAGCGTGTAATGCAATTGGGGGGCTTTTACACTCTTTGTGTGCTGCTGTTTCTTTACCAGAAGGGAGTGTTTTCAGGCTGGAATGGCCAGAAACTGCTCTAGTATATACGCGGTCTGAAAACAAGCGAAAGCTGCTTCCCGACGCGTAGGCTCCCGTAGACTGGAACAGTATGTGACTTTCAGTTTTCTTGCTACTGCAACAGGCTGCATTCGAGAGTGCTGGGTATAGCGGGAGAGAAAGCGAGCCAGAGCGGCAGCTACAAAACTCGTGTGGAGTCTAGCAGCGAAAAAGTTTAGCTTTGACGTACCTGTAACGTTGAACTCTCGAGAAATGACCATGGCTTCTGCACAACTGCCCAGCTTGACCAAACTAAAGCGCTTATTGCAGCTGTCTCTCTCCCGATCGATCGCTAGCTAGCTATAGCTCCGTATACTCGAGGGTGTGCGTTAAAAAGAGGGCGTTTTGAAAGCTTTTGCGCAATCTCATTGGTCAGAGCCTTACCGCCAGATGTCATCATACAAACACATTATACGATGGCTTTGCTTGTGGTTTACTGGTTGCACACTCGTGGCTTCAGTTTTGATCGACCACTCGGGCTACGCCCTCGTGCCCTATCAAAACTGGCCACTCGTGTAAAACCAGTAAACCACGCGCCGCCATCGTATGACCTATACGTGTACAGATATTGCGTAACACCGAGTGACACTCATGTGTTCACTTCTCGATCGTTGCATAGATCAGCACACGTGTGCCCAGCTACCTTTATGTCACATGGTATTTTTAAACCTAGCAATTTACCATTTTCCCAACATGCTGACTCAAGCAAAACCAAGAAATTTGACGTTTATATACCAGACCGTCTTTCACGCAGGAGCATGTGAGGGTAGCACGAGACTATATAGCTGGAAAAGAGAATGGCCCTATAGCATGGCACTGTTCTATACTGTAATCCCTAAAAGCCTGCCGTGACCAAAAGCAAAAAGAAACTCTGGTGGAGAAAACAGCTACTTCCTAACCACTGTTTAAAGCATACCCAGATCTTTAAGTGCGCACCAGTTACTTGACACAAACTAGTGTGGCTTTTCATTCCTCTACAAACTCCATAAATAAATAAGCATTTATTTCTTCCTTGTACAAATGATGTTTAACCTACCGTATTATTAGGAGTATAAGTCACACCCGTACTTTAGGCAAGTCATATATCACGTACGATCACACAGTACAAAGAGAAATACGAGGGCATCATATTGTCTTTCAGCATATAGGCAGCTGTGTAGCTGCATTGCTTCATCACCGTAGAGCCACCTGTCACTCTTAGACTACCGGACGCGCTACCCGTAATGCCCCATTTTCTCGTATAAGTCCCATGTCGAAAATTTCAACCAAATCTCTTGATTAAAAGTCTGACATATACTCCAGAAAATACTGTAATTTGTAATTACAATTACAAACTGCCTGTTAAAGTCATTTTGCGGCGAACGGCAATTTTGTTCTCTCTCTTGTACAATTGCACAGAGTATGGCAGTATATGTTGAACTCTAGGCTGGAAAACACAGCGATTGGGGGTCTGTTTGTCTATTGTTAGCTATTCTTGTGCTGTGTAACAAAATGGTGTTAGGGTGTTACTAATGGCATCAGTGCTATGTACTAAAAGGTTATTTTCTAAAACGAACCAATGAGTTCTAGAGGTACAGCAGGCGGCATAAAAAGTATGCGTTTCCATTCCGTAGAAAGGCCATTGTACTGAACAACCCATCCCGTTCCGTTCCGTACCATTCTCGTCCGTTCCGTGCCATTCTGTACCAGTGTGCCACGCCCATTATTTTTTCTTTGCATTGTTTTTAGCCTAGTTTTCGCGTGCTGCATGCATGACTACAAATAAATCTTCAAAGAGTTTGTACAAGTGTATATTGAAGATATTTGCCAAGAAGAAAAGGACACGGTGCAGGTGTTGTCGGATGACATGGGCATGGCCATAGCTAGTAGGGTTGCGAGAGCGAGCCAACGAACACCTCCGAAGGCTTGCAAAGGTATTAAATTACATGGCTCTCGACCTTGGCATCTCTAATCCCGAAACTTGGAAGATATAGCATACACGGCAGTAGGGGAAAATCGTCCATGACCGCGTGAAAACCGAGGTTAAAACTGAAATAAGCAAAATGGAACTGCACAGTGAAAAACGGACTGAGAGTCGAAAGTTTTCCTTCAATTTTTTCAAAATGTTTACCCGTCGAACAGCCGTTCTATACAAAACACTTACTTTTTACGATGCTTACAGTATAATCACGAAACAAACGCGATTCTGCTAATGAGGAATGCCTTGATCTACCAGGCACAGTGAAGGATGAGAATGCAGTCCAGCATTGCTACAAACAGGAACTTGAGAAACTAAAATCACTCGCGACTGAATGGCATGTCCAGCTCATCAATTAGATGCTCTAATTATGCCATGGATGCCACGGAGCTCTCCGGCCATGGCTAGTGGCCACACTGCTTACTACACAGCAAACCTATAGGACTGTAGCTGGGGTTTAGTGACCTACTGCCGTAGTACAGCATAGCAGCAACATAGCAAGACTGTACTTCTTACAGGGGTGCAGGTCTGGCGCTATGGCGCTGCATTGAATCTTCCTGAGCACCGACGCACGTTTATCCAGCGCCAGGTCGACTGTCGTCTGTCTGGTCTCGACTGTCTCGCAGTCGCGGGGTGAGCCGGCCAACGCCTACATTGTACGCGCAAGCGCGTCAGGCAACACGCGAGGGAGGTCAAGGTTCGCAAGATATGAGTGGTCAGCTAACACCGACGCTCTCAACGCTGTGGTCAGGGACTTCTCTGCTGTGAGTTATGGGGGCACTCCGGATGGTAGTGGAACTGGGTTTGCCACTCAGCTACCAGCGAAAACCAGCAGAGCAGCGACTCCGATTCGGACTCAGAACTTGGAACCACTAGTTCATCTGAACTTGCTGAAAATAGAGAGCGACATAAACAACCACCCAAAAAAACCCAAACAACAAAAGCTGTTTCAAGGATGAGTGGAAGTTACGGTTTCTTATGCTTCCAGCCATGTCGAATAGCGAAGATATGATGGCGTCCAATGCCAAGAGAGAATGAAGGCCAAGTGTAGCACGGCAACTAGGCACGTACAACGGAAGCATCCAACACTGGTTACATTGTCTGAGCAAAAAGGAGAAAACTCTTGTGGCTTTTTGAAGGGCAACTAAGGGATCACAGTCTGCCATGGCAAGTGCTACCAAGCCGAATGACATGGTTAAGTTTTCCCCTTACAAGCTGGCATTTGTTATTAGCAAGCATAAGATGCCTTTTACAAGCGGTGAAGCATTTATGGAATTTGCTAGGTCTGCTGACCCAGCTTCAACAATTCTCAACAGGATGCCTTGTAGTAGGGATACTATAACAAAGCGGACTCAGGAAATCCACCAAAATGTTTTGAAGCCTGCTCTTCTAAAACGGGTTAGAGATTCCCCCTTTTGGACACTAATAGCTGATGAGTCCACTGACACTTGGGTTGTATGTGCGATATATTGATCTTGCGGAGGGGAAAATAGTTGAGGATTTTTTGAGCTAAAAAGGGTTACTGGGCATCCATCCTACTGTTGATAATCTGTTTTTAACAGTAATAATAATACTCAGGTGGCTGCCATAGCACTAGGGCCATAGACCACGCACCAAGAGCAATGGGCGGAACCGAACATACACCATATGAACATGAGGTGTCTGTCTCACCTCCCAGACAGTAATGGAAGTAATTGACAAAGATGATGAAAATGAAAAGTTACCTACTGACATCAGATAGGGAAGGCCTATATGGAAAAATGAAGGCTAGGCTTAATACTTTCTACCCATTGCCTTTCTCACCATCTAATTCTTGTGTCCAAAGCTGGACAAAAAGAGCTTCCAGTTGACATTGAAAAAACCATATCAGACACACTCTCTTTTTTCAAGGATAGCTCCTTTAGACGTGATGAGTTTAGAAGTCTGAAAGATTTGGTTAACCTTAACAGCCCACACATTGCTATGGTACAATACCATAAAGTTAGATGGCTCTCCCTTGCTGACTGTGTTGATCGCCTTGTGAAGTTTTTACCATTGCTGGTTAGATACTTTGAAGATAAGCTGTAAGAAGCAAGTTTGGGGATTTAAAAATCTGATTGTCAGATCCAACATTCCAGCTTTTTTTTGTTCTTTCTTCATCCTCAACTACAGGAACTGGCTAGGATCAACAAATGGCTTCAGACACTTAATCTTCCTATTCACACTGTATATAGCAAAATTAAAACACTACTTTTTGTTTTTTTACAACCTGTTGCTTTGGATTGTACAAAAGGTGTAGCCGATTGGTCAAATCTGCGACCAATAGAAGATGCAGTATTGCTTTTTCCTGGCACCGACTTTCAGACATTACCAAGAACATGCTTTGCTTGACAGTAGGGGGATGCAAGATGCATGCAAATTATCAAAGTTGGTGAATTTATAGAGAAACGATTCCCTGAGCTTGAATTTATGGTGTCTAATACAGCCTTTTTAAACCTTTCAATGCGCTGTTTACAAACACCAGACATCTCAGCTCTAGTTCAAAGATTCAGTCAGGATGATGGGCCTGTAACCTATTCTATTGGCTCTGTTAAAAGGCAGTTTCAATTTTTCACAAATGACTCCACAATTGACATGGAGTTCAATCTCTGCGGTGGGGACGTCGTCAAATTCTGGTGTCATTTGTATAGGAATGAAGGAGATGAATACAAGGAACTCTCCTGTCTTGCCCTACTTCTATCGTCAATTTCTCCAACTTCAGTACTGTGTGAAAGAGGTTTCTCTATCATGAACTATGTTAAAAATGAGTACAGATCTGTGTTGACTCAGGAAAACTTGAATGCATGACTAGCCATATGTATTCTGTCACTACCTTTTCTCTTCTACAGGTTTCTGTAAACAATCATCAATAATCACTTATAGTGTACGGGGATACGGGAGATATACGGGGCTGCATTTGCAGCTCCAATCTATTTGAACATTAACCCCCCTGCTCTTACTACGGTGGGATCATACTACGGTACTTTAGAGCTACGTAATTTAAATCGCACAATCTGATTGGACCACATGCTCACGAGTATTAAGTCCACATGCTCCACCGTTATGTAGGCTACTGCTTGGTCTCTGGTTGCAAGTTTAACATGCAGTTGATGTACTGGTTGGGAAAAGAAGGTAGAGAGGATGGAAGACGGTAGAATGAGTGGAGGGGGCAGGATTAGGGAAAGGGTGGTCTGTCGTGGTATGATGTTGACGATGTCGGAGAGAGCACACCTCTATTCGTCATAAGTCCTTTTCCTGACCCCTGTGCTAAGATGTCATCACCAGCTGCTTGTCCACACCAGACTAGTATAGTCTACTAGTCAACGAGGCCCTAAATAAATGAGTGGTTGGTTTTGTAACCAGCGATTCCAGCAGACTTCTAGATCTGGGAAACAGTGGTCGACAGAGGATGATAGCCCAGCGCACACCGTGAAAACCAGCATGTTTCAGAGGGAGATCGTGAAGGTTAAAGATAGAAAGCGTACACTGGAGCATCTGAAAGGCACAAACTCTGGTACTTCCTGAATAACCTGATGAAGCAGCCATGTTTTCTTGGTGGTAGACGACCTTGGGTTTGATTTTTTGTCCCTTCAGCCCGCCAGGATGGTATTTAGAGAGATCCTTCCTGCAGATGACGTAACAACTGTTGGGAGTCTCTACGAGTTGGATATGGCACGGAGATTGACAAGCTGCCCCTCCTTCCACAGGAGGTCTTCTTCCTCAACAGTTATGACCTAAGTCTGGATCTTGTGAGTGCCAACCCCAAATGATTGGACCTCTTCATCATTATGTGACTTGAAATTGTGCGAACTCTGTGCCACTTAAAAGGTTGATCTGTCTCTCTTTCTCCCAGAGATGCTTTTGAAGGCATGAAGAGATGTAGTAAAGGCGGTTGGGAGCATGTTTGAGGCCATTTTGCATGCGAATCTAGATTACAAAATAACTCAGCCAGGTGTTTAGTGTTTTGTGTCGTTCATTTGTGTAAGTGGTGGAACTTTGTGGTTTCTTGGTTTTTTTGGTCTCTCACGCTCACAAAAACATTTGTGCCTTCTCCGGGACACTAGCTGCTCTCAAGTCTTCATCGCTCTTTGGAGGAGAGAAATGGGAGTGGGAGTGGGAGTGGCTGGCAGTGTTGACTTGAGCACTTGGTTGTAGAGCCTTGTGAGTCGTCGCTTACTGCCAGGAGAAGTGTCTAGCTGAGCTTTGATGCTCTTAAAGCAATTCGTAGACAGCCTCTCCGAACATATCGAAACCTCTTGCCATTTCTCCAACGACTGTTTGATTTGAATGAACGTGTTACTAGCTCTGGACGCCTCGTCCATAGAAACAGGGGTGGGCCCTTAGTAGCGTCTTTGCTGCGCTAGAACGCTGACAGCTCAGGGCCCCCTACAGCTCTCTAATACATACACATCGTTTCCTGGACTCGGCATCTAACTCTAGTGGGAACTTCTCTTGGTGCGTACTGTAAATATACACTGCTTGAAAATGAAAATTACATAATAGACAAAACAATAGGGAAAGTGCAAGAATGCTGTTACCGGCCCTTACAATGCGAACATTCTCTTTAATTAATAATTATTATGTCACGCAAAAATCAGTAAGGTATTACAAAAAAACTTACAAATCACGAACTGAAGGAATAGATGCAAACATTTCTCGTTTGATAACAGGAAAGTTATTGAGATCAAGATATCTGGAAGTGGTAAAATATACTTTCAATAGCAAGTGAAAACTCAAAACACGCAAGTATTAACTGTAAAAACATTTGAAGGGTTCTACTCTGCTCCAAAACAAAGTTACATATCCCAACATGTGTTTGCCAGCTAAATATTTGTGTGTTCTAAGATTGCATTCCGCTACACACGCTCAAGCAAAAGCAGTTGCATTTATCCAAAAACGTGCATTTAGTAGGAACATCTATGTGTCACCACATAGGAAGTGTGCTAAGAATGCATGCAATCAATCCAAGAAAACCTTAATGCGTTTTTTATACTTACTTTGATTACGTTCAGACACATTCCTACATTTAAAATTAAACTTTCAAGCTGTAGTGTATTTGCGTCAATAGCTAGGCCCCAAAGTTACGTAAATAAAAATCGCATCATAAAATACTCCCGTTTATACTACTAAACGCTATCACACAGGTTTGTATGCTGAGGTGCATGACTTGCACTGACTCTGAATATTCAAGCACTTCTAAGACCTTACTCGTCATATTTTATTGTACAGGTCATGACTTTTGCTGAGTAAATACAACATACAGTGCACGAAGACTTGTTAAGCCAATGAAGACTTCTGGAGTCATATTGTCAGCTGTTAAATTACATGCTGAGAGCTCACTAAAAAACAAGAGATGAATACAGATGAAAAGTACAAATGAAACCCTGAGCACAACTGTGTTAGCGTAATTGCACAATACACACTTCCATAGAGCACAGCTAATTGATGGGCTGGGCCACACTGAAGTATAATAATACTCGTCAACAGGGGCCAGTTTCTTGCTCTAACATAGGCTAGCTGCGTTTTTTGCATGGGCATAATCTACAGCAACACACCCCCTACATCCTTCAACTGGTGCATCGAACAGGCTAAACCTGGTTGAGGTGAAGCAAGTGCTTTTTGGCCTTTTCGCTTGTTATCTCTTGATACAGTACTTAATTTTTCATTCTTAATGCCCTCATAGCAGTTGGTATTGGTTATACGTAGGTTGCCTCGTAGTCTGCAGTGCCAGAAAAAAGCCTGGTTTACAATACGATGCTAGATTTTCATTTCGTTCCGTTAGCTACTGTCGTATATCATTTTGTAAACAGTGACATGACGGAAGTCGGTAACAAAATGAAACGCTGGAGTAGGACAGAGTTCTATTCCACCATTAGTTTGCCAGTGTCTGACCAACAGATAACATGTACGAATCGCATACATTGCACTGCACAAGTACAGTGACAGCAGTCACTGAGAAGAAGTCAATTCGAGATAGAGCATGAACTTAAGTACTATTAGCAGTCTGGGCTTGGTCAAATGAAAAGTAGGACAGATACACATTACGTTTTGGCTTCTTGCTTCAGGTGTACATACATATTACCTGTAATACACCTGAAGGTGTAAAAAGGCTGCAAGAAGCCAACACGCAGTGTGTATCGGGTTTTTGACTAAGCTATGTACTACCTAAAATTTCCAAATTGTGGAATATAAGGATGCCATAAAAAACAAGGACACAAGACAGAGATGACCTAGTGCATGAGCTGCAGTGGTAAAATGGATAGGGCTCTATATTTACATTGCTTGTTCGTGAAACCTTTTATACAACTCCCATATTCCACACAATTTGCCTCCTTTCCTTTTAACTGCATTCACACGCATTGTGTGCACACAATCATTATGCCTATAAAAAGTAGGATTAAATGCCTATGTGTTAATGCCTATGTGTTATTGCCTCAGACTGTTTGTCATCATTCACTTTTTTTTCACCCATTTTAGAGGACTCAGCATAAGCAAGTTATAGGAAAACACTATTAACCACTTTTTATTGCCTGACGCCTTTCGTTGTTGTTTACAAACTTGTAATTTTTGATGTGGAGAACCTTTATCATGGTACAGTATATTAATAAAATATCCCGTTTATTACCATACAAACCTGAAATCCAAAACCATTTCTTAGAATATGGATAATGTCACCCCGCCTATTACCATAGAAAAATTGCATTGTGCACCATCCGTTATACTGTTTAATACAGTAGGAGTCAAAAAAACGTTTCAAATTTCGTTCAGTTTCTTCACTATCGTTCCGTTCTGTTTCCGCTCAGTTGTGAATTCCGCGTGACACGCTCTCCGCAAACCCGGTAGAGACTCGCTAGCGGGGGAGTGAAACAAGGTTTTTTCTTAGCGCAAATGCGAAACAACGAGTAGGCAGTACCCACGCAGGTGCTTGAAGAAAGATCTTCACAGTGAGGCCTTCGCATCTCGTGAGTGACGGCCCTCACGCGAACGCATGTATGGCAAAGAATCGCAACGGAACGGAACGAATTCCAACGGTAAATGAACGGCGTTTCAGAAGGGAACGCAAGCTCAACGAAACAGAACGCAACGAAATTGGAAAACCTTTTTTGACCCCTAGTGTACATTGGACCCTTTCCACATTGTAGAAAATCCCTCATATTATCATAATTTTTGGATGTACCTGGGTATGATACTTACAGGACCCACTGCATATCAGTGTACCAAGTTTCATTTTTAGAGGTCTCACCGTTAGCAAGTAATTATTTTTTGCCTGAGGCTGTTTGTTGTTTTGTCACAAACTGTAACTTCTGTTATGATAAAATGGTAAATCAATCAACCAAGTTTCATTGTTAAAGGAACCACCAAAAGCAAGTTATAGGCACAACACAGTTAACAAGTTTTTATTGCCTGAGGCTGTTTGTTGTTGTGTACAAACTTATAATGTTTACATTTTGATACCAATGATGGTTGCATATGTGTACAAAGGTATAAATTTCTGGGTATCTGCAGTAACTAGGTAGCACACTTATTGGTCCATATCATAATGTATGGCCTGAAGCAATTTTTGCTATTTGTTGTGTATATGTAAAACAACATTGTTTACAAACAAATATTAATATGCTCTTGCGTGATCTGTCCTGCCCCATTGTCGATCGTTGCATTCGTGGTAGTATAGCAGGGTAAAAGTTTAAAAAAACGATGGTAGCGATGTCAAATTGTGAACAACGCCACCAATATGACGGAAAACAGAGACGAAAGGAAACAAAAGTCTAGCATCGTATTGTTAACCAAGCGCTTAAGGGTCGACAAACAAACAGAAAGACAAACACATACAAGTAATGCAAAAATATGACTTACAGTGTGACCAGCGATGAGATATTGGCCAATGAATCCTTCTGTAAACCTTGAAAAGGATTGTTATTCAGCAGCCTAGGACCATAAAAGGTTAATCAACACACACTCTAACATTTGTAGCCGGTAGTTAACCATGGTTAGCACAATTATATGTCATTAAGATCGGTACACCCCTAGTATGGTAAACTTAAAATATGGCGCACACGAATAAAAAGTATACATACTTAATTAAGTTTGGTGGAAATTCGATTATAGGAAAAAAAAACCTATACACCTGTCCAAACTAAAAGTAAGTAGTAGTCTCCATGAGTAAGAATTCAGAACATGGCGTGCTAGTATGCAATAGTCTTCTGTAAGTGCGCAATGTTTTACACGCATGGTTTACCTTGCACACATAAATAGGCGCTGCACCCTCGAGCATGCACAATCGCTATATCTCGCAGTACTGGAAAAATTGTTACTATTGAATCGTCAGTTTTTCCCGTCTACTTGACACAGGCTAGCTACACTAGCATGCGTCAGTCGATAAACGCACTTCGCTGTGACTTCTTTTCTCTCCATGGTACACAGCACACGCAGATCAGGTTGAGATAGCAGTGCAGTAATGGGATATTGGCCTTTTTCGCTTGTTTTAATGGCATATCTCTCGAACACAGTCAGGAAAATCACCATTTTAATTTTCAGGCTTGCGTGGTTCTGAAGCCATCGGTAGCACTTACGTATAAGCCTGCGCACTGCGGCCATGGCGATGAGCGCGGCGCATCGTCGTCTTTGGTCTTGGCGCAAGATAACAGGATGCGCGTCATCACAGGCCGAGTGCGCATGCGCGAGTTATCAGCTCATGTGTAGGCGGCCGCGCCCAGGGTGAGGCCCGTGCGAGACCGCCTTGTAGCCTGTAGTGTGAAAAAAGCTGAAGACAAACAGACAGACCGACAAGTACTGTGACCCTCGCTGCGCATGTGTGCCGAGGGTTAATTATGATGCCAAACATATCCAGAGAACAGTAAATGTGCAGGGAAAGTAATACAACTTTTACATAACGGACAGAGCAGTTTTCGCTCATTCGAACGGTACGCGAGGTGCGAGAATACGCCGTACTAGCGAAGAACAAACACAGAATGCCTGGTCACAACTGCGTTGTTTGTGGGAGCACTCCAACAAAGGACCCAGATCCTCCTTTCATCGCCTACCGAGCGACCCAGTGAGAAGGGGAAGCTGGCTAGACGCGTTTGGGCTGGACCAACTCAAGGCCCGGTCACGAGTGTACTACAGGCATTTCCGAGATGGAGATGCCAAGAACAAGCCAATAGTTAGCTTAGGAAAGAGATTTGCATCTCCAGTAAAGAGGCAGAACTGAAGGGCGAAATCTTCAGTAGATAAGGTACAGCTGACATTCTCCTTCTCAGTTCCCGCTATAGTACGGCAGATTCTCGCACCTCGCGCACCATTTGAACGAGCGAAAACTGCTCCGTCAGTTTGCGTGTGTTTAAATAGTATATACAGTACTAAACAGACGCTATGCGCTACCGAAGTGTGCACGCACCGATTTCTCTGTTCACAAACATCATTTGATGACTAAGTAGGTTTGCTTTTTCACACCAAATATAGGCTCGACATACAACCTGACTTCAACTTGTTCTGTTTACATGTAAATCACAAATTTTGGTACTGTTTTTATGCAAATCCCCAACTGCACGTCATGCATGGCAATGTCAGCCATCCCACAATGTAGACTTACTAAAAGATGTAGACAAAATGAGCTTTAAATTAAGCAACCCACACTATGTATACGCTACCACGCATTAGAGCAGTGGACTAGGGGATAGGCCATATTGCTCCCTCTTAATTCCTGAATGATTAATTACTCATATGGACGATGTATGTGGTAGGCTCTGAAAAAATGACCTTCTAACACAACTATACAAAATCAGAAGATCTGTTGCAGTTCTTGCAGCATCATCCGCTGCGGAAACACTTCATGTTTGTACTCCACAACAGAATATACTACACAGACATAGAACGAGGTAGAAAGGCAAGGCAAAGCAAGCAAGTCAACACCCAGGACAGATCTTTCCTTTGAGCTGCCTTGGCTTTCAAGGTGAGCCCTCTACAAACTGAGCTACCAGGGCAAACTCGGCTGGTAGGGGTTCGAATCTACAACAAAATACAACACAAACTTCAAACCCCACTGTGATATTAAGCAAGCAATGTCAGTTTGAAGATGTAGCTAACCATCATCCATTCTACTACTGCATCACATGCACTACTAGGTCATCCCTGTTTTTGTCTTTTTGCTTTTTATTTGCATCCCTATATTCCTGAATTCAATAATTCACTTCGCCTCCATTCTTGCATTCACATGCAATGCGCAATATATTTTTGGGGTATAATGCCGATATAAAAAGTAGCATTAAGGGCACATGTGTTTATTGCCTCAGACTGTCTGTTGTCATTCACACGTTGACCGAAGTACATAAGTGTACAAAGTTTCATAAGCAAGTTATAGGCACAAACATTATTTACAAGTTTATAATGCCTGAGGTTGTTTGTTGTTGTTTACAAACTTGCAATTTTTGTTTTGATGAACTCTTATCATGGTACATCAGTCTGCCAACTTTCATTGTCAGAGGACCCGGTATACACAAACACTATTAATAAGCTTTTATAAACATGTACATTTGGATACTTGCACGTTTATACACAGTTCATTCTAAGTACAGGCATTAACTAGCACTTTATGTGTCTATCATATCTATCATAATGTTGGCCAGGTGGTATTATTTGTTTTTTACTACTTGTAAACAACAAAGAAATTAATACGCTCTTGCACGACCTGTCATGGTCTTTGTGCAGTTTCATCTCCCTATCTTACCTGGTTTTTGAGATTAGCTTGTCTAAACTGAACAACAGCAACAACAACGACAACAAAAAGACCAACTGACTTTTTTAGTATCAGATTATGCGATCGAAGCCATTTTTACGTACATGCTTATATTGACCATACGGATCAGACTGACAATGTCAGAAGTGGAGTATGATTGAAACTGAAAGTGAAACGTACAAATTCAAATGTATGGGCATAATGCAGGAAAACCTGTCATCCCTATATTCTAGTGAAAAACTTACAAAGTCGCAATTTGATGAGTCTTGCCAAGAGCAGGAGGAGGATAACTAAACTTGTTGTAGGAGAGGTCTAAGGTTGTAAAAACAGTGAACTGAAAAGTATTAGGTGGTAGCCAGGACAGCTGGTTCCCAGAAAGAAACCTGTGGAAAAATTTCAAAACCAGATAATATTTGTTATTATATGTGACACGTAACAACAATATCTTTTTGAGGAGAGGCCAAAATGTACCTCGCTGGGCACGAGTGCACTTTTTTCGATACTGTGCCCACGGACTACTATTACATCCTGGAAGAGGTTGCCAGCAGAGAATGAGACCGTAGCTCCCTTCCTTTTCCCCAGGAAGACGCAAGCTACCCAGGTATAGAGGTCGCCATACACGGCGATGTGATACAGAAAACAAACATACTACTGTAAGGAAACATTTCCCGCGCAAACAGAAAACGCGAATACTACTGAGTGTTGCAATGATCATTTGTTAGTCACTCAAACTCTGGATGCACTACCTAGTTCGTATTGTCGCTACAGTGTAAAATTCAGTATGGTTACTGCACATTTCAATTACAGAACACTAACACTATACTTACAACTGTTGCAGCTTTGGCAAAAACCGAGCAGAAAATACTTGATCATCAATCACTTCTATATTATTTGACCGTAGATCCCTGCAATGATCAAAACCATCCGCATTAAACAGATGTGTCAATTTTTGGCTCTAACTGTTCACACAACAATAACAAATAAAATTGGGTAGAGATTGTGCAGGGTTGTGAAGAGGGGTATACTTAGTTACTGCGTACACGGTCGTATAAAATAACTTACAACAGTGTTACTTCCGCAAAATCCTTGATATCTTCCACAGTTACTTTCTCCAGGCTGTTATTCACAAGGTTTCTAAGTGTGTGTGTGTGTGTGTGGGGGGGGGGGGGTGGTGGTGGTTAGAAACTAAGAATAGACACTATTGCAAGTGGCTAACTGAATTCGTTTTTGTGCTTGGCCTATCGATAGTTTTCCACGTGGCCCTCACAACAGACTCACTGTAACATGCATGCTTTAGCATCAAGTAGCTATAAGGTTAACACAGCTAGTTATCATAAGCTGGTCTTCAGGTGGTGCACTAGAATGATGCAATAGCGCACTCAGTTGCCTAATGCACTCACATGCGGATCGTGCATTACACAACCTCCTCCGTGCGCTATTGCGTGCACACACATTAAAGTTAGCTAAGTGTGTTATAAATATTACTTAACTGTCATGATTTAATTGAGGATGTAACTTACAGCATTTTGGATATTTTAAACTTAATGGTTGAGCAACAAGAAAACTTTTTAGGCTTTTGCCTTGTTAGAGTGCAAGTTTCTTGAATATATTTTAAGGCATTTAAACAAAGCCTAAAAAACATTACTGTAACCCTTTGCTGTCCTACTGTGCATCAAGCACCACGCCATTACTTATCAGCATATGTGATAGGCTCTGAGAAAATGACCCTTATGGC